CGGGGCGCCCGCGCTGGGCTCTTCCCGGGCAGAGCTGCGGCGCCCGGCAGGAGCAGGCTCTGCGCTCCCGTGTGGGTCCCGGTGGGTCTCCCGGTTCCCGGGAAGGGGGAGTGCGGCGATAACCTTAACTCTCAGGTCCTCAGAATGGACACCTAGTAGCCAGTCCCTCAGCCGCGCCCGGGGTCGCCGGGGCCGGCTGGTTGCTAAGGACGCCCTCGGAGCCGGTCTCGCGACCGCGCTGACCAATCAGGGCCTTAAAGCGCAATTCCTCCCTCCCCCGCCGTCACCGCGCTGGGGCTCAATTTCGAACGAATAGATGCGATTATGTGTGACAGACCTTTATTAGCTTTAAAATAGAACCATAAAACAGTAATGGTTCGGCTTTAATACGGTTCATGTACGTTAGCTGTCCCGCCAGTAGCTGCAGCGAGAATTGGTGACCGGATTCAGTGTCCCCTCAGTGCCTGCCTTCTCCATAGCCTCGCCCCCAAGCCCCCCGCAAAATCTAAATTAAAGATAAAAATAAAAACAGCATGCTTATACAAAGGTGGCTATATCTTTTAACCAAGCTGCTGTTCAAAAGCTCCTTTTACGTAGAAACTCTGGGCCTGATGGTGGATAAACAGAGCACCCAGGGTGTTCCGTGTGTACTAACCACCAGGGGGGAATTTCAACTCAACAGGATACTATCTTTCCAATAATATTTTCTAATTCAAATCCTTATAAAATTCTCTTGCCTACCAATTGATGAGCAACTTCAAATATTCCACAAATGTTGAGCAATTCTGATTAAATATTAAGTTAATGTACAGGGATTGTCCTTGTGAAGTAAATTGCCTTAAAATATTAAGAACTTCAAAAGACAGTGTAACTGATGTAAACTTCATCAATCCTGTATTATTTCTGTTCATAGCAAGCACCAGATAAGTCTTGTGGGGGGGGTTTAAAGCACATTTTTATATTTAAAACACAAAGTATTAATCCAAACCCGTAGAATGTACAATACCAAGAGTTAACTCGAAACTGTGGACTTTGGGTGATTATGGTGTGTCAATGTAAGTTCATCAATTGTAACAAATGTACCACTCTGGTTGGGGATGTTGATAATGGGAAGGCTATGCATGTGGGGGGAAGGGAGCTTATAGGAAATCTCCATACCCCCTTTGTGTGTGTGTGTGAACTCAAAACTGTGCCTAAAAAAAAATAAAACCTTAAAAATAAATTAATTCATTTTTTAAAGTAATACAGTTTAAAAAAAAAACACAGAAATTACAATAGCTAATCCCAGGCTTCTCTGAAACACATTTCTTCTAAAATATCATTAAGTTGAGGGTAATAACAAAAATTTAAAAAAAAACTGGGTAAGACTATAAAAGAGAACAAAAATATAAATAATATTAAAAAGAATTAGAGAAAAAGCTTCATCCAAAATTAAGAAACATGAGACAATGAATCAAGAGTACTTATCATATTTCAAAAAAAGTGAATATGGAAAGAATATGATATGCATTTAAAAATTGCTTGGTGGGTTTTATTTAAAATTTACTTCAAGAGATCTAGGATGTTAAAAGTATAAAAAATACAAACTATTAAAAAGGTTACTCACAAAGGAATAAGAATCAGGTTAGCTAAAATATTCTTCTCCAAAATATAAAAATCAGTTGATTCCACAGATTATTTATAGAAGAAAGTAGCTACCCATGACTTCTATAGGGAAGACACCTATAGGACATGTTTATATAAGGAAGAATTCACAACTTCTCCCCCTACTCCTGCTACATTTTAAGATCAAACCAACCAAAGGGCAGGTCACTTAGACATTCGTCAAAATTAAGAACTCCAAAATGTAAAAGTTGTGACTGAAATGAGCCGATATTGACCAGAAACCAGCTATACCTGATTTTCCCCTGGCCATAAAATGAAATTGATTAGTCTTTCCTTACATAGCTTTTAACTTTACTGTCACTCTTAGAAAGTTTTAAAATCTATTTGAAAAATATTTGTTATTTTCTTTCTATATTCAATATTTTTAAAAAGAAAAAACCCAATCTATTATAGCTGTAATTTATTTGGAAATAAGCTGTGAGGTGGGGCTTTACTGTTTCTCCCCTCAACTGGCTACCCAGGTGCCCTCCTTTTAATAATTCATCCTTTCTACAGTGATATGGATGTAAAATTGTAAGATGCCATCCATTGCTTTTATAGTAAAAGCGCGCACTCTCGCGCGCACACACACACACACACACACACACCTTTTCCTCCTTCTCCTTTTAATAAACAAGAGTTTTGGACCTGAGCCAAGCCCATCCTTGAGCCAATATTCCTAAGGAACAGGGAAATATTTTTATTGCCATCTCCTGTAACTAATTTGATTACCCAATAATTTGCTGTTAGTACTCAAGTAATACTGGATACACTTCTTAAGGGAGAGATGACATACATTTGCCCAAGCCCTATCACAACCCAATTTAAGAATGTCAGTCCACTCAAGACGACTTTATCACTTTAAATAAAGGTTCCCTTTTAGAAGGTCGAGAGCAGTGCGTGGGGTTCTCTTCTGAAAGCCCTCGGAACGCTGGGCTGCGGGCAGGCAGGGACGCGGGAAGGCCCATGGTGGGCTCAGCCAGACCCAGGGAGGGGCGCTCTGCCAGAGGAGCCCTTGGAGCTGATGAAAACAGGTACAGGGGCATTTTCATTTTTCGATTCTTAAAGGTGTAAATACCCCGAGTGACTTAGATGCACCAGAAAATACCTACAGGAAACTATTTGTAGCTGTTTAGTGGCCTTAGAAAAGCAAAAATGCTTAATTCCTAAGTCCCAGAGAGTAGTTTATCTTCATAAACTATCTTCATAAACTTCTATCTTCTCTCTGGTGGGGGCCGGAGAGAAGGGAAGAGGAGGTTTTCCCCCCGGACGTGCTTTTTTAATGTTTGCTTCAGCGGTACACAGTTTCTTTGCGTTCATTGGGCAGAACTCTCCGTAGGCTTTACCCAAAACGCCAAGTGCGGGAGGTAAAGTTAGATGTAAAGTTACGAACACCCCGCACCTCAGACCTCTGAATGACGCCCTGTGGCAGGCGAGGCACTAGCCTAGTGAGGACACAGCCAGGTCTGAGGCCTTGGCGTGGGGCGGGACATTCTGGCTGAGATCTCGGGGACTCAGATCCCGCGACGCGTTAGCTGTATTTCCCTATAAACATCTGTACTCGACCTCGTCTCACCCAGGCCTCATCCCCCATCCCTAGGTCCTTACGGCCTTTGTTCGGTACTGTGTTCCATTAACTCCACAGCCACCTTACCACCTCCTCCAGCCTGACCGCTAAATTTTAAGGGTTGGCCCAGGATTGCTGAATCGTCCCCTAGCAACAGCGTCCCTGATGACCGCCGGAAGAGGCTTCAATCACGTGCGCTGGACACTTCCGCATTTGCAACGTAACTTCCGGTTGTCAATTTCTCCAAGCGCGGCGGCGGAGGCGAAGGAGGTGGCGGTGGAGGAGAACCCGCGCGGCCCGAAATCCCCGCGGCCCCAGTGGTGGTGGGCTCCGGGAGGGCTTGCCTCATCCTGCGCCGTCCGCGATGCATCCGCGGCGCCCGGAAGGATTCGATGGCTTGGGCTACCGCGGGGGTGCGCGGGATGAGCGGGGTTTTGGCGTCGCCTTCCCTGCAAGGTCCTTCAGCTCCGGGTCGGACCTGGGCCACTGGGTGACCACTCCCCCAGACATCCCCGGGAGCCGCAACCTGCACTGGGGCGAGAAGAGCCCGCCCTACGGCGTGCCCGCCCCCTCCACCCCCGAGGGCCCGGCGGAGGAGCCCTTCCCGGGCGGCAGCGGCGGCGCGCCGGGGCAGA